AATATATATATTTTTATAATTTTTTTTTTCAGAACTATCATTAAATTTTCAATAAATATTAATAGCTGTTTCAACAGAAAAGAATTGTAATTGTTAGTTTTTATTCGAATAGCGCCAATTTCTGTTCTAGATGTACCAGTTATCGATACAGAAATAATCCAGTGATCGACATCCTTTATTTACTTGCGTATCTACTTATTAACTCGATTGTGCCTATGACGATTATTGGTCCTTCACGGAAAAAAACACAGCTGAAAACTTCAGCAAATCTAGTCGTAATATACAGACAGTCAATTTTCTATGTTACAATAGCAAAGTTGACAGCTAAATAACATTTGCGATTTGTTAAACCATCAAATCTTCTTAGTTATCGACGTTGAATTTGCGTAGTAAATTAGGTTTGCTGTATCATCCAATTAATTTTTTTTCCTAGAGTGTTTTTTCCTAGTGCTAGACTGTCTAGATAATAACAATTACGGATCTAATTTTTTAATTTGGATTTTGGATACATTATTATTTGATTTACAAGAATTTTTTTTAATCCATCTAGTCCCAGTAATCGATAGATATAGCGATTACTTGAACGATTACTTCAGCGAATCAGTGCTTATCACGTAAAAAAAAAAACTTATGAAATTTGTATGGTGTACGAAACAATAATTTGTGATGGTGTACGTAAAACTGCAATCTCGTTATATAATTTGAAGCTCAATTTACTCATGCAAATTGCAAATACTTCAAAATCACATGAGATGTCAAACAGTGTCTCTTAATCTCACAAGCATTTGATCGAAATCACGCATAGACTCGGTTGCTGCATATATTCGATTTAATCAATAATAAATTCATATATTTACGAGTTTCATAATGTATGTAACACAACATTGTAAATACTTCCTTAGAACCAATAAAAATATCAGCAAGCCTCACGACAGAAAGCACTAAAATACATCTTTAATACGTGAATTTACTGATATTCTGATTTCTGGGTCAACTATCTTATATTTTATTTTTTTACTTATATTTTATTCATATTTTACATATTTAAATTTATCTACTAGAATTCACGATCTAAAAATATACTGCGCCTTTAAAGTCCATCATTGCTGGCGAAAGATGTAATTTTTATAAATATACATTTCAATGCTATAAACAAATAAAAAGATTTAAAAGATTTTACTGCATTAATTACTACATCGATATTTGTAATGTTTTTCATATGTATGATATTCGCAGAATTTTAATATTTTATACAGAGTGTACACGATAAATGCCTCCGGTATTTTAAAGTAACAAGAAATAAAAATAAATATGAACACATATTTATATTTCTCGATATTTTATTATAAAGAAGAGTTAAAAAAGTTTTTTTTTTATAAAAAATTACTAAACTTTCACAGGAATACCTTTAGTGACACGAAGGATATTGAGAAGGGAATATTCCGCTTTACGCCAAGTGTGCTGAAGTATGCCATTAGTTATAATGCCAATGGTGGCCACAATTTGGTTGCACAAAATACTTACGTTCAGTATGTACTTTGATGAAGTAAACTATGAACGGTATTCATAGTCGGACCTTATATTAAAGTCCATCTTAAGTACAGTCTTAAGATGTCATGAACTTAACTTAATCAGAGATCCGTATTAGCACATCTTAAGACAGTCTTAAAATAAGAACGGACTATGAATACAGACAGAAGAAGTATAGAATGATATAGAGGAGAACAAAGTAGCCAGAATCCTTTTTGTCATGTGAAAGTTTAGTAAGTTTTTGTAAGAAATTTTTTAAATTGTTCTTTAATAAAATACTTAGAAATCTGTGTGTTTATTTTTATTTCTCATCATTTAAAAATATCAAAGAGATATCATGTACCCATATATATTTTGTATTTTGATTGTGCTGAAAAATTTTATCAATCAATAAAGGGTTCAAGAATTTTAATAATAAAGAATATTTTCTCAAAGAATATTGTCTCTTTGTGGGTTCAAAGCTATAAAATTTTCCAAATAAATTCCAAGAGCACATATTGAATTCATACAAATATGTATATGTAAAATAATATTTCTTCTTTTGTACAATAGAAGTTATCTTTAAAAGCCAATATAACTTCGAAATTTCTAGCGAAACTTGATATACCTTTACATAATTGTTTGAATTTGGAAATGCAGCTTTGTACATGTATGAAAGATTTCCACTTCTGTCGCAGAGCGGAAACCACTAAATGAGAAGGCACGGAAATGGAGCGAAAGCAGAAAGGGGACACCATTTGGTCATGACAATCCAAGTTCAAAATTGTTAATCCATAGTGCACATTCTGATCCAAAGTCTCTCGACTATAAGGGAACTTCGTTTCGCTTTGATAAGTGTCGACGGAATCTTCTCCCTTTCAGAGTAGATGAAAAAGAAAGACTATAATGATGACATACGTGTAAAGGACGTACTCACCGTTGAGAACATGAACCGCGACGATGGTCTTGGCTTTGCCGGGCACCATGCAGCTATAGTTCCCTGCGTGTCTGGGACTGGCTCTCTCCACGATGAGAGTACTGACGATCACAAGGACCTCCTTGCCCGCCGAGATCTCTGTAGTTCTGTTCTCGCTAGAAACGAGATCGAGCCGTGAGTTTCTATCCATATTTCTCTTTCTTGTCTAAGTTACATATCACATTGATACATAAACTCTAATCAAATATACAGAATGTTTTTATATTTCTTTGACTACGAATTCTTTAATATGAAATCTATTTTTAATTTTAAAAAGTCGATATACATAAAAATTTTTCTTAATACATTTTATTACAAAGATTAAATAAATTTATATAAGATAAATAAGATAAATAAAATTTTCTTTCTTTAAAAGTATTTTCTTTTTCTTTAATCCTTGAATTAAAATTTTCAATTAAATTCTAAAATGTTACATTTTAAGCATCTTTTTAATTTTCAAGTTAAAACATAATATTCTAGTAAATAATTAAAATTATATTTCACATTACTATTTCTATGAACATATAATTTGAAAAAGACAATTTTTTATATATTATATTAAGTGGAGCAAAAATTCGGACTTACAAACTTTAAAATTCGAGAAGCTGTAATGTCATTAATTAAAAATGAACGAAATTTAAATGAAAATAAGTTAAAAATGTTATATTCTAAATTAAATACAAGATTTCAATATCTATTATCTCCTAAAAAGAACTTTTAATGATTTATAAATTTAATTCTTTTTATTCGTAAATCATCTTGATTTATTACATTTTTATTAAGAAAAGTATATTATATACAGTACTTTCTATGTATATAAACATACAAAAATAAAAATGCTCAGAACACTCTATATATTTACGTTATCGTCAAGTAACTACGAAGAAGAGAAACGGAGATGATTTCGTTGAGTGAATGTATTATAGAATGCGGTTGGAGAAATTGCTAATCTGCTGCATACTGATTTAGACCAGACGTTACCTGACGATTTAATTAAGAAACTCATTTCAGGATTGAGCGATAAATTTATCGCTCGAGAGCATATATTCGAATAGAATTTATATTTTACAGACAAATATAATTGACAGATAGCTTAAATTTTATTTTCTTACAACACTTGGAATATCTCGAAACGCATAAAGATGTTTATTTTTTCATGCATAAAAGATTTCTAAAATTTGGTTTTTTACTTATACTAATCATAATTGACTACACAAAAAGATTGTTCTTTAAAATTTTAAAATCTTCATCAACTTTACAAGTATAATTGAACATTTATGTCTGTTTATATGATATTTCTGAATTTAATGAACAAACTACAGGTTCATATTTTATAAATGGAATTTAAACAATATATACAGTTTAGCTAGAAATGCTTTATTACAAAGTTATAAATAAATATTGAAACGGAATATAAAATAGGAAACAACGGATTTTCTATTGCACAGAATATGAAAATACACATTCCCTGTATGGAAAGGTCGAATATATTTATCTCGCGTGTATATTCGCATCATATTTACTATCTCTAAATGTATCATTTCGACCTATGCGTGAATATGATATTCAGCGAGACAAGCTACGCTCGAGAAGAATAGGTGTTAGATTTCTATCGTCGTGAAATAACAAAAATGCCAATATTATACCAAAATATTTATCATATTTCATGTAATAAATAATCATTAAAATGTTCTATATTTGTTTTCAATAAAGTACTTCTAAACTTCATATAACATTTTCTTCTATTACTTTCATTTGTAAAATATATATGTAACTGCTTTCCGCAATTTGTTCGTTAAATTCTGAGATATCCTGTATATAAAAGTAAAAATAAATATATAAAAATTCTTAAAATTCTATTTAAAAAAAAATGATATACAAAAGAACTTAGAAATCTTTTTCCAAGACTGATATCAAACATTATTACAACAACACTGTATCGTTCAAACGTATATCTCACACTTTTCTTCGTAAATTCGATATCAAGCTGTCGATATGAAGTGTTTATAGAGTACACAAAGATGTTCGCTCCTACGTGTGGGGGAGAAATTGTAGGACTGTAAAGTGGGGTACGATCGTGTTTGCGCCGAGCGTGAATATTCGCCTATATTCCAAGCGTGTATTTTAACGCCTTACTGCTCCGAGTTTCTAACAGAAAATCTATGAAGATTATTATTTTTAGTATATGAATAAAGTATTTCAATATTTTATTTTTACAAAATTGCATTAATAAAAGAATCTATATCCAGATATATGTATAGTCTATACGAAAAAATAAAAAATACATATTTTGGAACAATTTTTATAAATATCCTTTTTTTAATTTACGATCAAAAATAAGAATAATATAATATGATCTTTTAGCTTATGTACGAAAATAGTATAAAATTTTTAGATTACCCCAATTATCATTGTCGAAAAGGAACAAAAAGCAGAATATGAAAGATTAATGATTGAATAAGAAAATGGTGGAATAAGAATTTTTCGCTTTTTTTGGGAAATGTAGATTTTGAACAAACCTCGCGGAAACACTCATCTATGTCATAATTCAATAATTAAAAATCTTTTATATCAGAACTGTAGTAGAATCATTCGGGAAAATCTACAAAAAGTCTCTTTTCGTAAGACTGAGCAGAGTATCGTGTTTCCGATTATGATAAAGAATAAAGAAACGAAGATATTTTTTTTTTATTAATAACGTATTTTATATTAAATCCATATTAAAATATTTTATAAGAAACCTAGATTTAAACCAAATACCATAGTATAAGAATATTTTCGAGATTTCTAATAAAAGACTTTTATAAATTTTAATTGTCACACACATAAAAAAAATTCATAATTATTTTCACACAATCTTCTTGAATATAGCACTATTAAATACAAAGATTATAAAAATATAAGATGGTATTTATGAAAAAAATTCATATATATTCATATAAATAATAAAAAAATGATACAAAGGATGGAGAAGAGAATGAATACTTATAGATAGATACTTATAGATTTTTTAAGAGATACAGATAGCATTTTTAAATCATAAATACGTTACTAAATAGTCTAGGGAAAACTTATTTTCTGGAATAATACAATCTAAATAAAAAAAGCGATAGAGATCGCAACTATTCCAAATTGAAAACAAACGATCGCAATATGCTATGATGGTTTGTTCCAAGCACTTACCTAATATCTTCTGTAAGCGTCTCGTCTCCTCTAGTCCAAACGACGGACTCGTTGAGCGACTCGAGCACGTCCCTCGCCTCACACCTGAGCCTGAGGACACTGCCTGCCTTTAGATGCCTTTCCTTGGAAACTATACGTCCAGAATCATCGCTGATCGTTAGAGTTGGCGCTATGACACAGAACATAAGCAGTCAGCATTGATTGTTGATTAGAAATGTATTCTAATTGATCGGTTAAAGGGTAATTCAAATAAATTTCAATTTGAATTCTGATAAAATATTCATGCAGTAAACGTGACTGCTTTTTAACAAGCAACGTTTGCATATAGTTAATAAATATGTATGTATCCTTTTAGTTAATATTTTGTATAATTTGGACTTAAACAAATTCAATTAAAAAGAAAAAGTGTACAATTCTTATTTAACAATTAAAGGACGTAAACTTCCGTTATACTGCCAAAGGCAGTATCGCCACCTCTGAAGAAAATACCTGTGAAAGTCTCAATATTATCAAAAATATTATCAAGTTATTATTTTTCTGAAAAATGAGAATAACTTGACCGTAGGAATTAAGTATATTTTTCTATTCAAATAACAGCGCAAGTGCAAAATACATCTAATAAATGTCGGCTATAGTTGTAATAGAAACATGATACATATATCGATCTCATTCATATAGACAAATGTGAAAAAGAGAAAAATTTATTGTAACCCTATGCTTTTCACCCGGAAATTCTTTACTAAAAGAAGAAAGATGTGGTACATAACACCTGGCATATAACATCTACTTCCATTTCAGTTAAACGAACGCGAAAGCAAAACGCATCGACCTGCGGTTACATCATCCATATCGATAAAAGCTGCATTGGCAAAAAGCTTTCTCTCCAATGCACTGGACGGCCGCTTGCGCACGAGTTTTCGAGGGAATTGGGAACGGATTATTCGTGACCAGATGCGTAAACACGTCTCGAAAACGTGCGCCGACTTTTCTTTCGGTTTGCGAAGAATCGACACGTTTACGAAAATAGTCTCGCAAACGAAAGAATTGCAAATGAATCTGTAGTTAAAATTCAGTATACCCGTCCAACAACAATTCTCATGTCGAGTCACTGCTATGAAAATTTGATGATCACTCTCGATATGTTTTTCATTTTTTTTTTCCAATCGTTCGTTTCGTCTATACATGTTATCAACTTTTGTAAATAGCAATTAATAACATTATATATTTGAATGTAATTTTACAATCAATTCTACGTTTGAAAGA